TCAACGGACGAATGGATAAGGAAGATGTGGTCCATATACACTATGGAGTATTATGCCTCCATCAGAAAGGATGAATACCCAACTTTTGTATCAACGTGGATGGGACTGGAAGAGATTATGCTGAGTGAAATAAGTCAAGCAGAGAGAGTCAATTATCATATGGTTTCACTTATTTGTGGAGCGTAACAAATAACATGGAGGACATGGGAGGATGGAGAGGAGAAGGGAGTTGGGGGAAATTGGAAGGGGAGGTGAACCATGACAGACTATGGACACTGAAAAACAACCTGAGGGTTTTGAAAGGGTGGGGGGTGGAAAGCTGGGGGAACCAGGTGGTGGGTATTGGGGAGGGCACATATTGCATGGAGCACTGGGTGTGGTGCAAAATCAATGAATACTGTTACGCTGAAAAGAAATAAAAAAAATTTTAAAAATCAGGCAAAAAATACGAGAGTGTCTCCTCTGAAATCTGTGTGCATGGTATACTGCATTACCTAAAGAAAATGTAATAAAATATAAAAATTAACAAAAAACCCCCCAAAACCTCCTCTTTTTCTGCTAACACAGCAAAGAAAATGTAATTTCTTAGGACACAGGATTTACCACTCCTTATCCAGAGTACATCCATTCTCAGTCATAGTGCTAATTTCCTGCAGCAACCCAGAAACCCAGGAGATATGGCATAATAGAATTAATAGATGCAGATATTTTCCCCTAGTACAACATCACATAAAGTATACTCATTTCTTTAAAAATATCAAGAGAAAAATGTTAATCACATTAGGTACAGAAAAAGAAACACACAGTGCTGTCCAGAATTCGTCTAACCACTGAGCCTCTGTATGACTAATTAATCTCTGGACCTCTGTTGCTTCTACACAAGGATACATGTCCCATACATGCATATGTTACAGGTGATTTAAGGATAAGAATAAAAAGGAGGTTGGTCTTCTTAGAAACAGGTCCTTTGGAGTGAAGACCCATATCACTCTTTTCTGAAGATTATATTTTTCATAACTGAGATTCTGAATTTTATATATTGAGGCATTGCTCCTGGTGATGGCCTAAGATTATGGGAATCAGAATCTGAGGATAAACAACAGGAGTGTGCTTTCTGACCCAGCCTCAGCTCTCCAGGACTTCTCTGCCTTGTAGCAATTCCAACAAAGGATATGAGGGGAACAGCCAAATGTAGACTTCCTTATGCACCAGAAATTCAGCTTCTTATATCTAATTTCACCAACTACTTCCCATTTGTTAATTATTGGAAAAAACAGCTTCCTAATGGGGACTGGTCCTACTTTAAAAAATGAAAAAAGTAACATAAAGACATTCTTGTTGGTGCCAAAATCAGGTACTAGATCACTCCTCAGCAGAGTGCCAATTTCTGGTTCCCTTTTCTGGTTACACAGTGAAGATAGATGACTACAGTGATAACAGACAAGGAATTTTCTAGGAATTTCTAATGAGTCAACTAGTCAACTAAACCTTAACTATGTCAGACATACATGTTCAGCATTCCTATTACAATAAATTTCTTTTTGTTTGACGTTAACAAATCTTTGATCAGGTGTAGTTACTCTTGCTTTGGACAAATCCACAAATGAAGAAATACATTCATAATTTCCAGAAATAAAAAAATAGGTTTAATCTGAGAACTAACCTAGTTAGATAGGAAAGTCTTTTTACAGAGATCTATCAATACTAATAGTAATCCCTGCCCTAACTAAAATGAGATGCTATAGGGGCACCTGGGTGGCTCAGTGGGTTAAGCCTCTGCCTTTGGCTCAGGTCATGATCTCAGGGTCCTGGGACCGAGACCTGCATTGGACTCTCTGCTCAGCAGGGGCCTGCTTCCCCCCACTCTCTCTGCCTTCCTCCTCTCTGCTTACTTGTGATCTCTCTCTCTGTCAAATAAATAAATAAATAAATAAATAAATAAATAAATAAAATCTTAAAAAAAAATGAGATGCTATAAAGACATGTACTGGTCTCCCAGCAGCCTTGACCAGTACTGGCATTTCTGATCCTTGAGGTAGTACGCATTAGGTAGGGCTGGAATATTGAAGGTGAAGAGTCACACCACCACAACTAACTACAAAAATCGTTGTGGATTGTTTGGCCTATTCATGTATTAGTTCAGAGCTGATGAAGGATGGAGATGCTGAGGTTCCAGTTACTTCTCATGCATTTTCCTGTCCTTGTGTCAGTCATGGTTTTATATTGGGAGAGTAAAGCAACTATAATTCATCCCACAATTAGGAGAGTTGTGGGTCAACATTTAGTTACCACTTTTCCTGATTGGATGTCTGAAATAAATTTCATAATTAGTAACAACAGAAAAAGATTCTCTTCTTCCATCTGTTTAGGGCATCTTTGATTTCCTTGTTCCTCAAACTGTAGATCAATGGATTTAGCATGGGGATTATAACAGTGTATAAAACTGATGCCAACTTGTTTTGACTCAGGGAATCACCAGAGTTAGGATACAAATAAACAAAGATACCTGAGCCAAAGAATAGAGTCACTGCTGTCAGGTGAGAAGCACAGGTGTTGAAGGCCTTGGACCTGCCTTCAGCTGATGTGATCTTCAGAATGGTGGCAACAATATAACCATATGATATCATGATAACTGAGACAGATGTGAGTCCGAAGATTACTGTGAGCACAGAAGTCATGATTTGAAAGAAAAAGGTATCAGAGCACGATAGGTTTAGCAGTTGGGGAAGGTCACAGAAGAAATGATTGATGACATTTGGCCCACAGAAATGGAGCTGAAGTAAGGCAAACCGTTGGATAAATGAGCCAAAGAATCCAGTTACACAAGATCCTGCCACCATCTGGACACAGAGGGTGGGCGACATGATGGCGGTGTAGAGCAGAGGATTACAAATGGCAGCGTATCGGTCATAAGCCATGGCTGCCAGGAGACAGCACTCAGTCAGACCCAGGCTAGAGAAGAAGTACTGCATAGTGCACCCCACAAAGGAGACGGATTTCTGCTTCTTGAAGAAATCCGAGAGCATCTTGGGTGCTATAGTGGAAACATAGCAGATGTCTAGCAAGGACAGGTTACTGAGGAAAAAGTACATAGGTGTGTGCAGATGGGAGTCCACCCTGATGAGCGTGATGAGGCCCAGGTTCCAGCACACTGTCATGAGGTAGGTCCCTAGGAACACTGAAAAAAGGACAATGGTGAGCTTTGGAAATTCAGAGAATCCCAAGAGAATGAATGTCATAACTGCTGTACTGTTCCTTCCCCCAGCCATTGCATTAGTAATTCTAGGATCTGTAGACAAAGAAGAGAATAAATCTTTAAGTCAGCTGTTATCCCAATTTCTATTATCACCTTCTACTCACACTAAAAACAAAACCAAGAGAAATATTGAGCCATTTTAGAAGATATAACTCTATTTAATGTTGCCCCTAAATAGTTACAATGGTCCCGTGCATCAATATGCCCACATGTAAAAGAAGATAATTATGCTTTTCACTGTTAAATCACCAGGCTCTTACAAGGACAAAAGAAAGTATAATAACATTTGGAAAGCTCTTCTTAAAGATACTTTAGAAGTTTCAGGATATGATTAAAGGGATTATAACTCCTATGTATAGCTTAGTGACTAAAAGCATGGCCTTAGATGTCACATAGTTATCTTTGGAATGTGGTTCTGTTATCTGGGAGCTTTAGGACTCTGAATATGTTGTCTATTATCTTTCTACCTAGTTTACTTAATTGACAAGACAAAGATAATAGAACCTACCTCATATGGTTCAGTCGAAGTGAAATTAGTTCAGTTATGTACAGTGTCACTTGTGCAAATAGTAAGTATTGAGTGAAGTTGTATCATTAGCTAATATCTATGGAATATAGTTTTGAAGCACTACTTTGGTTTGTGAAAAACTTTTAAAAGGTCAGCCTGGTGGTGGGTGTTAAGGAGGGCATGTATTGCATGGAGCACTAAGTGTGGTACATAAACAATGAATCTTGGAACACTGAAAAAATAAAATTAAATTAAAAAAATAAAGGATTGGTCATGCATATAACATTCTCAGACTACAGTGGGATTAAGTTAGAAATCAGTAATAAATTGGTAATTGAAGAACCATCATATTTGGAAACTACCACATATTTCTAAACTATTCAGAAGTCAAAAGTACATTAGAATAGAAATTAGAAAACATTTGTAACTTAAATATAATGAAAAATACTATTCACTAAATCTTGTGGATTTTTTAATTGAGATATAATGGGTATATATAGGATTTCACTCATATGTGGAATTTAAGAAATAGAACAGATGAACATAGGGGAAAGGAAAAAAGAAAAAAGAGGGAAGCAAACCATAAGAGACACTTAACAATAGAGAACAAACTGCTGGTTGATGGAGAGGAGGTGGGCAGGGGATGGGCTAACTGGGTGGTGGGTATTAAGGAAGGCACATGCTGTGATGAGCACTGGGAGTTATAAGTAAGTGATGAATCATTAAATTATACACCTTAAACCAATTTTACCATATATGTTAACTAACTAGAATTTAAATAAAAACTTGAAATCAAAAAAAGGAGAAAAAAGGAGGTATATATATACAATGGAATACTATGCAGCCATCAAAAGAAATGAAATCTTGCCATTTGTGATGACATAGATGGAACTAGAGGATATTATGCTTAGCGAAATAAGTCAATCCGAGAAAGACAACTATCATATGATCTCCCTGATATGAGGAAGAGGAGATGCAACGTGGGGGTTTTGGGGGGTAGGAAAAGAATAAATGAGACAAGATGGGATCGGGAGGGAGACAAACCATAAGAGAGTCCTAATCTCATAAAACAAACTGAAAGTTGCTGGGGGAAGGGGGGTAGGGAGAGGGTGGTGGGGTTATGGACATTGGGGAGGGTATGTGCTATGGTGAGTGCTGTGAAGTGTGTAAACCTGGCGATTCACAGACCTGTACCCCTGGGGCTAATAATACATTATATGTTAATTTTTAAAAAAATAAATAAATAAAATATTTTTAATAGCAAAAAAAAATTTAGCAATGGAAAGGGAGATATAATTAGCTCCTGAAATTGTTACAATGGATATGCTAAATAATTTCATGTCAATAAATTTTAAAACTTAAAATGTATAAATTTCTAGGAAAATGTAACTTGCCAAAAGTGACTCAAAAAGGAATCAGAAATCTGAATATTCTATAAACACTAAAAATTTGAATCAATACTGAAAATCTTTCCATGAAGAAAACCCCAGGCCCAAATGGTTTAATCAGCAAGTTGTACCAGGAATAAAGGAAAACACGGGGTCCCTGGGTGGTTCAGTCAGTTAAGCATCTGCCTTCGGCTCAGGTCATGATCCCAGAAACCTGGGATCAAGCCCAAATTGGGCTCCTTGCTCAGCAGGGAGGCTGCTTCTCCCTCTCCTTCTGCTTGCAGCTCCCCCAACTTGTGCTCATTCTTTCTCTGTCAAATAAACAAATAAAATTGAAAATAATAATAAAGGAAAACAGTAATTCCAATTATACACAAAACTTTCTAAAGTATAGAAATTTACACCAATTTCCAATTCATTTTTGTGGGACTATCATAACTTTGTACCCAAACGTGACAAGAATGGAATAAAAATGAAACAGTATAGCCATATTGACTTGTGTACACAGATTAGAAACATCTTGAACAAAGTGTTGACAAACTGAATCCAACAGCATATAAAAATAATAAAGCATGAACAAGTTGTGTTTATTTCAGAAAGGCATGGTTGCCTTAATATTAGAAAATCACTTATTGTAATTCACCACATTAAGAGATTAAAGAAGAAAACAATATAATCATCCTAATAGATTTAACTAAAAAATTCATTCATGATTTAAAAATATTAGCAAATAAGGGAACTATTTTAACCTTGCTGAGGATATCTTACAACCAACCTCAGCAAATTATATTGTAATGGTAAAATAATGAAAGAATTATCAAAGAGTTCAAAACAAGGACATAAAGCTCACCATCACATATTTTATTAATCTTTGCCTCAAAGACTCTAGCTAGTGAAACAAGGGCAGAAAAACAATGAAATTTTAAAAAGTCAACTTTAGTGAGGTATAATTCACATACAATAAAATATATCAATTTTATGCAGTTGACAAATTTGCTCACCCATTAGCACACCACCATAATCAAGATGTAGGACATTTTCTTCCTTCCAAAATATTCTCTTATGCCTTTTTAAAATAAGTCCTCTCTCCTACCCCCTTAGGCAACCACCAATCTGTTTTCTGTCACTCTATGTTAGGGGACCTTCACTAGATTTTCGAAATAAATGGAAAATAATTGTATATACTCTTTTATGTCCAGTTTCTTTCATTTAATATAGTATTTTTGAATATTCATATAGTTGTGTTCATCAATAATTTGTTCCTTTTAGTGTCTGAATAATATTTTATCATACATATATATACAACAATGTGTTCATCCATTCACCTGCTGGTGGATATTTGAATTGCTTCTAAATTCTAGCTATTATAAGTAAATCTTTTATGAATTTTTATGTGCAAATAATGGTGTAGACAAATGCTTTCATTTTGGGGTAACTACTTTGCAGCTGACTTGCTGGATTATATGGTAAGTGTTTAACTTTAAAAGAAATTGTCAAATTGCTTTCCCAGTATGTAATTTTTTAAAAAGTTTTATTGAGCTATAATTCATATACCATACAGTTCACCTGAATGTGCCATTTTCACTGCCAGCAACAGCTATGAGAATTTCAGCTTTGAGGATAAGATAGAAATTATATTTTTATTATCTCCATGGGCTCTGGTTGCTTTTGTAGAAAATCCAAAAAGAAACTAAATAGCAATATGAGAATTAATCATTATTCCCACATGATCTGAATGTCTATGTAAAAAGTAAAAAAAGACTGTATAAATATCTCATTGCAATGAATGAGCGTTTAGCAAAACCAACATATAAAAAATGATGTTCAAAATCAAGTTAATGAAAGAAATCACTGTCATAGAGATTAAGTTCAGGTTTGAGGCAGCAAAAAAAAAGGGGGGATAACAATATACTCTGAAAACACAAAGACAGAAAGAACAGCTTTTTGGAAAGTAGATAAAATAAAGGACCTCCTGCGTGTCTCAGTTGGTTGAGTGTCTGACTCTTGGTTTTTGCTCAGGTCATGATCTCATAGGTTGTGGGATTGAGCCCCACCTTGGGCTCCATGCTCAGCATAGAGTCTGCTTGATATTCTTTCCCTCTCCCTTTCCTTCTCCACTACACTTCCCCTTCTCTCTAAAATAAATAAATAGATCTTTTTAAAAAATAAAATAAAATAATACCCCCCAAACAAAAACCCAGTCAAGAAATAGGCAGAAGTTATGAAACAGACATTTCTCCAAAGAAGACATAGAAATGGCTAACAGACCCATGAAAAAATGTTCAGCATCACTCATCATCAGGAAATACAAATCAAAACAACAATGAGGTATCACCTCACGCTGGTCAGAATGGCTAAAATTAGCAACTCAGGAAACAACAGATGTTGGGGAGGATGCAGGGAGAGGAACTCTCTTACATTATTGATGGGATGCAAACTGGTGCAACCACTGTGGAAAACAGTATGGAGGTTCCTCAAAAAGATAAAAATAGAACTACCCTATGATCCAGCTATACATTACTATGTATTTACACAAATCATACATAGTGATTTGAAGAGGCACACACACCCTAATGTTTGTAGCAGCAATGCACAATACCAAAACTATGGAAAGAGCCCAGATGTCCACGGACAGATGAATGGATAAAGAAGATGTGATACACACACACACACACACACACACACACACACACACACACAAGAATATTACTCAGCCATCAGAATGAAATCTTGCCATTTGGAATGATGTGGATGGAGCTAGGGTGTATTATACTAAGTGAAATAAGTCTGTCAGAGAAAGACAAATATCATATGATTTCACTCATACATGGCATTTAAGAAACAAAACAGATAAACATAAGGGAATGGAATGAAAAATAAAATAGGATAAAAACAGAGAGGGAGACAAACCATAATAGACTCTTATCTATAGAGAATGAACAGGGTTGCTGGAGGGGACTTGGGTGGTGGGATGGGGTAGTTGGGAGACTGGCATTAAAGAGGGCACTTGGTATAATGAGCACTTGGTGTTATATGTAACTGATGAATCACTAAATTCTATCCCAAAATTCATAATACATTATGTGTTAACTAACTTGAATTTAAATAAAACAAATA